CATGGTCGAGATACTATTCGCTTAAGTTTTTAGATACTAGCGGCGGGTTCTACAGTACATATGTTTCTAAACGCCGTAATCCCTTTCTTTTTTCTGTCTGTTTAAGCGCCAGTCTCGCATAAGAAGATAAGTCATGACGCTGCGCACTCATGAAGAGAGATGTTTTAATTTTCTCAGAGAAACTAAAACTTTCTTAAATTCACTGTTATTGCATACAGAGTATAAGCGTACTTTTGCGTTGAACGGATGCTTCATATCCTCACCGTAAAATCGCTTTCTTCAAACCGTTATGGTTTCATACAATATATTTCAACCTCATTATAACTAAGATTGTTCGGCATTGTTTAGTTTGAGAAACTGATGGTTTCCACAATCACGTGATCAAAAACTAAAATCAATCCTATATTAAGGCATAGTTATAATGCAGAATGTCTTTTACCGATGTCAGCAGTGGCGGCCCAAGCTCGCATCTCGAGGAAAACGCAAACGATTAATTCATGAAAGCGTCACGCGTTGTGTGACTCGGTGCAAAGTTACGAGAGTTGAACATGTTATAAAAAGAGAAAGATGTTTCATTTTTGGACCTAAAATCCGTCATTAGTCAGAAAAGTGTGACGAGCTCAACCGAAATACAGTCACTCAGTTTTTTCTTAGCAATTCGATCATGCAAATCACACCCGCTAGAAAATGAAAAGTTCACGAAGACAATAAGTCGATTGTCACGCAAAGATAGGTTACCGTTTAAAGAAAGAAACTTAGGTTGTACTGTGATCAATCTTGTGATGTAAATGAAAGCTTTAAAAGAATCAACACTTAAGCTTGTCGTTCCCCATGAAAAATAGAATAACACTTCTCAATTTTCAAGTTCAATTAAATCATTAGGGATAAAAGTGTGACATACAAACCCAAATACTGTGTACTTATTGATTGAGAGGTAGGAGCGTAGCGAGGTCCTTGCTTCGTGACCGAGAGCCTAATATTTGCCCGTCCGGCCCAACAAAACTCAGTCAATAAACATTTTATCATATGACCACCAACTGTTGAAAATTTCGACCTAAATAGGACGCGATAGACGGGCATACGAGCACAAATCTTTTTTCTGTTTGTTTTTTTTTTGTCTAGCGGCGAATTCTACAGTACATATTTTTCTAAACGCCGTAATCTGGTTTTTTCTCTGTCTAAGCGCCAGAGTCTCGAGTAAGAAGATAAGTCATGACGCTGCGCGCTCACGAAGAGAAATGTTTTAATCTCTTGATAGAAACTAAGACTTTCTTAAATTCAATGTTACTGCATACATAGTAGAGGCGTACTTTTCCGTTGATCGGATGCTTCATATCTTTACCCTTAAATGGCTTTCTTAAAACCGTTAAGGTTTTATACAATATATTTCAACCTCATTATAACTAAGATTGTTCAGTATCGTTTAGTTCGAGAAACAGATGGTTTCCACAATCACGTGATCAAAAACTAAAATCAATCCTATATCAAGACATATTTATAATGCAGAATGTCCTTTACTGATGTCAGCAGAGGCGGCCCAAGCTCACATCTAGAGAAAAAGCAAACGATTAATTCATGAAAGCGTCACGCATTGTGTGACTCGGTAGTCACTCACAAGAAATGAACACTTCCTATAGAATTGTATGGGGAACCAAATATGGTCGATTTGAAGTAGTAAAAGTGTGACGTGCAAAACCGAAATAGATTCACTGCGGAGTAAACTGCTGATCGGTTTTCCATATCAGTTCATGAAAAGTTGATTATCGCTCACAGCAAGCTTACCGTTTAAAGAAAGAAGCTTTGGTTCTATTGGTATCGATCTTGTAATGAAATTTTAATTTACGAAATGGATGGACACAGAAGCCTGACGTTTCCTGTGAAAAAAAGAATGGAATAAGTTATTTTATACATATGTTCAATCCATCAGTGGTTATAACGTGTGACGTACGAAACCGAAATTCATTCGTTTGAGATGGAACACTTAAATCTTCGGAGTAAATGTTGATTCGCCCCCCAGATCCCCCTCTCGTTAATTCGCCATATATAATTTTTATCATTCAAATGATCGCTGGGTGTTATTGCCCTCTAGTTGCAAGTTTCTTGCGATTGTCTGAGGAAAAGAGGAAACAAAAAGGTTGAAAAGCACTATTGCCATTGGGAGTTATCAATTATCTCAGTTGCTATTTTTGTCTTCGATCATGCAAATCACACCCTCAAGAAAATGAAAAGTTCACGTGTACAATGGGTCAGTTTTTACGCACAGATAGCTTACTGTTTAAAGACAGAAGCTTTAGTTGTACGCCCAATCTTATCGATCTCGTGATGCAAATCCTAACGAACTAAAAGGGATGAACACTGAAGCCTGGCGTTTTCGAATAAACAAAGTAAAGATGTGTCATTTTGGATGCTCAAATCCATCATTAGTTAGAAAAGTGTGACGTGCCAAACCAAAATACAGTCACTAAGTTTTTTTAGTATTTTTAGCTTCGATCATGCAAATCACACCCGCTAGAAAATGAAAAGTTCACGAAGACAATGAGTCCATTATCACGCAAAGATAGCTTAGCGTTAAAAAAGAAACTTAGGATCGATCTGTTCCACGTTCAATTACATCGTGTGTGATAAAAGTTGGACGTACAAAACCGAAATACTGTGTTCTTATTAACTGAGTGGTAGGGCCGGAAGGAAAATTATTTGGCTCGGGGTCATGACCTATGGACCGAGCGCAGCGAGGCTCAAGCTTCATCACCCAGAGCCAAATATTTTCTCCACTGGCCCCACTAAATTCAGTCAATAAGCATTTTATCATATGACCACTGACCATTTTCAACGTTAATGGGAAGCGATAGACGGGCATGTACAACGTACAAAACGTACAAAACGTACAAAAAAATATGCAATTTTACTTCGAGTAGCCTTGAGCAGGAGGGGAATAACCGAAAACACACGTGATCTAGATACCTAAAACGCCGTGACAGCGGAAATTCGGAAGGTTGAGAAAAGTGCGGAGTGTAATTCATTATTTTTATTGTTTCATTTTGAAAGCATCAGCCACATTGTCAATATCTTGGTAAGTGCGATTGAAAATCTTTCCTATTCACTCGGTTTTTATCAGCCTTAGTCATTTAGTAACTGTAGAGAGGTAAGGCTCTCATGGCAAAGCCCAGTAGCTGTTTTTTCGAGCTTTGTTTTTGCAATATGTAGTTATGTCTCGTTTCGAGCGTTAGCCCTTCATTTAAGCGGTTGATGGCGCGATTGAATCGCCACCACAGTGAAATAAATCATCAGTTCCCCCCTTGGCCAGTCACTAAAAAGTTATGACCCTTACAAGCCAAGCATACAATCTCCGCCCGTCCGTGAGATAAGTGAACGCTCATATTGACGACATGCTAATAACCACCAAACTACTCTACTGAATATTATGGAGAACGAGTCGTCACAGGAAGAAAAATTATGAAATAACATAATGAACATCACTTGACGATCTGCGTGCTCAAGGAATTGGCTGAACTAATAGAAATTTTATTGTCCTTTACAATGAATTTCCGGTGACTAAATAGGCATTAACACCAACATAACTGTAAGGGGGTAGATTAAGGGTAATTCGGCGAAATCTTGCAGGCTTTTCTTTTTGTCCAGAAGTTTAGTGACATCACCTTGGAAAGGTAAATGCAATCGACGGTAGGGCATCATGTGGACAATTATATTTACTATATTCGTTTTCAGGGACATTCGTCTGATAAATGCGCTCATTGCTTTTAAAATGAACAATCTTTGCAAATGTTGCCATATTCCCGAATGTCAATAACTTACAACTGTGATCATCTCGGTAATGAACCAAAAGAACGGTGTTTCAATAAAATCGAGCGAGGGAATTTCCAGTACAAACATTTTGGACGGTACATTATTTAAACTGTCGAATAGTTCTCGAGAAAACTAGAGCAATTTTCTCATTAATCATTCTTGTATTATTCATGAATAAGAAATAAAATAGAGTGATCCTAATGGTCTGCATTGCACATACGTTTTGACAGCCGGTTTAACAAAATCAATAAACTAAGAATGGGTAAACTAGAACTTATATTTTAGAATATTCCTTTCTGATTCCTTTCTGATTTCTTTTGATTTCCATGGATTTTTCATTAGCTGAATTTGCATTTTATTCTTGTCTTTTTTGTTTGTTTTTAATCAAAGCGAATAATGCCTCAAAAATAAATCAGCGAGTCAGGCTATGACACATGGCAGCAGTTTGTTTCCTTTGAGAAAAGGTAGCTTCCTTACCTCACAATACATGATATAACCAAGCCTCTTATTCTTCAATCTTCTCCATTGATTGAATCAATGAGCTTCATTATCAATTAAGAAGGGACTCTCTTTTCCCATTTCTTTCTGTTTCCGGTTTCCTAATTATCTGCCTTAAGAAAGTTGAGACACTGGGAAGAGAAATTTTTTAGTTTCCTCATGCGATTAGAAAGACCAGAAGTTCTAGTTCGATCACAAATCCTGTAACAGATTCTTAGTAACAATGAAACTTTTTGATTTTCAAATATGAATGTAGTTTAAGTCAGGCACAACTGTCTATCACCTGAGTGAAATGTGGACAAAGGTAGAAAAAACTGAATATTAAAACCAAAACTCTTAGTAATTTTTATTTTTTTTTTATGCGATTGTCATTTGGTATCTATTTGTTTATAACCTGTATGAGCTTTCTTAACATTGATTTATTATATTCCAATTGTAACTGTTTTAATACTACAATTAATTCCATTGTCATTCCTTTAAGCTCATTTGCGGATAATCTTTAAGTTCTCTTTGAAGTTTGTTACAAATAGTTTCCGGGTGTAATCGACCCAGCCCGTTTTTGTAACTTAACATGTGTGTTCCTGTTTGAAGTGACTCGTTATTAATCAAGATTATCGACCATTTAGTATTGTGTTACTAAAAATAATGTTTCCCTGATAACAGGTGAAGATTGCAATGGAAACCTAACAGCAGAAGCCATGACACCTTTCATGAGCCTCGCCTTATTTGTTGCCCTGTTCTTGCTCAACTCAGATCGCATTCAGAAAGCCATTGAGATATGCAGCGAATGTTTGATTTTGCTAAATGGCACCGATCAAAACAGTAAAGACCAATTTGATTCAGCACTGCTACAATTTTACAGCGACATCTATAGCGTTCTTTTCAGCGCTTATCGTCATATCTCTGACTATATAAGTGCGGAAAGATACGGAAGGAAACTGTTTGACTTATACAGAGGGTATGGAATTATGCTTTATAAACTTGGCGAGAGCCTAACAGCAAAGGAATATTTGAGAGGGCCATTGCCATAACAACCAAAATTGGCGACAGACAAGGGGAAGTATCATGTTATGTAAACCTAGGTGCTGTGTTTACGTCGCTTGGCCAATACGACAAGGCTGAAGAGCATCTCCAAAAAGCGCTTGTCATCACAACTGAAATTGGCCACAGAGAAGGGGAAGCATCATGTTATGGAAACCTAGGTACTGTGTTTACGTCGCTTGGCCAATACGACAAGGCTGAAGAGTATCTCCAAAAAGCGCTTGGTATCACAACTGAAATTGGCGACAGAGGAGGGGAAGCATCATGTTATGGAAACCTAGGTACTGTGTTTACGTCGCTTGGCCAATACGACAAGGCTGAAGAGTATCTCCAAAAGCGCTTGTTATCACAACTGAAATTGGCGACAGACAAGGGGAAGCATCATGTTATGGAAACCTAGGTACTGTGTTTAAGTCGCTTGGCCAATACGACAAGGCTGAAGAGCATCTCCAAAAAGCGCTTGTCATCACAACTGAAATTGGCGACAGAGAAGGGGAAGCATCATGTTATGGAAACCTAAGTACTGTGTTTAACTCGCTTGGCCAATACGACAAGGCTGAAGACTATCTCCAAAAAGCACTTGTCATCAGAACTGAAATTGGCGACAGACAAGGGGAAGCATCATGTTATGTAAACCTAGGTGCTGTGTTTACGTCGCTTGGCCAATACGACAAGGCTGAAGAGCATCTCCAAAAAGCGCTTGTCATCACAACTGAAATTGGCCACAGAGAAGGGGAAGCATCATGTTATGGAAACCTAGGTACTGTGTTTACGTCGCTTGGCCAATACGACAAGGCTGAAGACTATCTCCAAAAAGCGCTTGTCATCAGAACTGAAATTGGCGACAGACAAGGGGAGGCAACTGACTATGGAAACCTAGGTACTGTGTTTACGTCGCTTGGCCAATACGACAAGGCTGAAGAGCATCTCCAAAAAGCGCTTGTCATCACAACTGAAATTGGCGACAGACAAGGGGAGGCAACTGACTATGGAGACCTAGGTACTGTGTTTACGTCGCTTGGCCAATACGACAAGGCTGAAGAGTATCTCCAAAAAGCGCTTGGTATCACAACTGAAATTGGCGACAGAGGAGGGGAAGCATCATGTTATGGAAACCTAGGTACTGTGTTTACGTCGCTTGGCCAATACGACAAGGCTGAAGAGTATCTCCAAAAAGCGCTTGTTATCACAACTGAAATTGGCGACAGACAAGGGGAAGCATCATGTTATGGAAACCTAGGTACTGTGTTTAAGTCGCTTGGCCAATACGACAAGGCTGAAGAGTATCTCCAAAAAGCGCTTGTCATCAGAACTGAAATTGGCGACAGACGAGGGGAAGCATCATGTTATGGAAAACTAGGTACTGTGTTTACGTCGCTTGGCCAATACGACAAGGCTGAAGAGTATCTCCGAAAAGCGCTTGTCATCAGAACTGAAATTGGCGACAGAGAAGGGGAGGCAACTGACTACGGAAACCGAGGTACTGTGTTTGAGTCGCTTGGCCAATACGATAAGGCTGAAGAGTATCTCCAAAAGGCGCTTGTCATCAGAACTGAAATTGGCGACAGAGAAGGGGAAGCATCATGTTATGGAAACCTAGGTACTGTGTTTACGTCGCTTGGCCAATACGACAAGGCTGAAGAGTATCTCCAAAAAGCGCTTGTCATCAGAACTGAAATTGGCGACAGACGAGGGGAAGCATCATGTTATGGAAACCTAGGTACTGTGTTTAGGTCGCTTGGCCAATACGACAAGGCTGAAGAGTATCTCCAAAAAGCGCTTGTTATCACAACTGAAATTGGCGACAGAGGAGGGGAAGCATCATGTTATGGAAACCTAGGTACTGTGTTTACGTCGCTTGGCCAATACGACAAGGCTGAAGAGTATCTCCAAAAAGCGCTTGTGATAAGTACTGAAATTGGCGACAGAGAAGGGGAGGCAACTGACTACGGAAACCTTGGAAATTTGTTTAGAACTGTTGGTGATTTTGAAGCTTCGGAAGTATGCTTGGAGAAAGCTTTATTCATATCCAGAGATATTGGAGATGGAAGAAGAGAGTTTGAAATCCTCGGAGGTTACGCCGTTTTGTATTTATGTCAAGATAAAATCAAAGACTCTCTGTCGTGTCTTCACCTGTGCATTGAAAAGTATGAGGAGCTGAGATATTTCTTGGGCGCCAATGATCAGTTCAAAACATCATTTCTGGAGGACACAGGAATATTCCCCTACAAGCTGCTTTGTACTTTGCTTTGTGACACCGGAAATGCTCGGGATGCTCTTTATGTTGAGGAGTTGGGTCGAGCTAGAGGCCTATCAGACTTAATGGCAGAGAAGTACTCGGTTGAAACGCACATCTCTGCTAATCGACAATCTTGGTTTGGCATTGAGGACATTTTAAGAAAGAAAAGAAACTGTACTTGTCTGTACATTTCTTATTTTCAGAATCGTCTGCATTTGTGGATCTTGAAAACAAGTGGAGTCCTTCACTATAGAAGAGTATCACCAGAAGAGAATCTAGTTCAGGCTGGGTTACCCAAAGATTTGTCTGTGAGTCAATTTTTGGATTATAATTTCCGGAGTCTTGGTATTTTGCCCACTAAAGATTGTGAAGATCGGTCTTTAAATACGATTAAATTGCAATCTCTCTCCCCCGCGCAAAAGAGCTCAGCAAGATTGCGACTTTTGGACGAGGACGAGGACGAGGACGAGAAAGTGATTTCAAGTCTATACTTGTGTTACAAAATGTTCATTGCCCCCGTTTATGATTTGCTTGATGAGCCTGAAGTCATTATTGTTCCTGACCGCAGGTTGTACAAAGTTCCCTTTGCTGCCCTGAGTGAAAAGGAGGGAGCCGAATACTTGTCAGAGACTCATAAGATCCGTATCATTCCTTCGTTGACAACACTCAAGAACATTCAAGATAGTCCAGAGGACTATCACAGCAACACTGGTGCCTTGGTAATAGGCAATCCCAAGGTTAATTGGCTGCAATCATTGCCAGCTGCAAGAAAGGAAGCGGAGATGGTCGGACAACTGGTGGGTGTTCTGCCTCTAGTTGAAGAGAAAGCAACGAAGCAGGCGGTACTGGAGCGGATAAGTTCAGTGAGCTTGATACATTTTGCTGCCCATGGTAACGCGGAAAGAGGGGAAATTGCACTCTCCCCCAATCCCTGTCCCAACAGTCAAACCGCTCTCCCACCGAAGGAAGCTTACATGTTGACGATGGCTGATGTCTCACGAGTGAAAGTCAGAGCTAAACTGGTGGTACTTAGCTGCTGTCACAGTGGAAGTGGAGAGATAAGGGCCGAGGGAGTTATAGGAATTGCCCGTGCGTTCTTAGGATCCGGTGCTCGCTCGGTGTTGGTTGCACTGTGGGCCATTCCAGACTCAGCAACAGAGCAGCTGATGAGTCGGTTCTACGAACACCTCATTGAAGGTGGAAGTGCCAGTGAATCCCTTCATCAGGCCATGAAGTGGATGAGAAAAAACCCCTTGAACAAAATCTCTGAGTGGGCTTCGTTTACGCTGATTGGAGATGATGTGAGACTCGAGTTTGACAACCAGCGGCAAGACTCGGTGAGAACAGGTATTTCATAAATTAAAGTTAAATTAGATGTGAGGAAGGTTATGACTTACTGGTCGTTGTTACCTTGAACATCAAGGCTAGTTTAATATCTATCTATATATACATACATATATATATATTTTTTTTCTTGCAGGAAAAAAGACCCCGATAGAGTAAATAATGACAAGTACTCGAAGGGAACAGAGTTAAAAGACTTTTAGATGGATAAATTAAATAGAAATAAGTAGAGAAAATACTCTATCCAGTATTTCATCGACATTAAAAAAAAAGAGCTATCCCAGGTTAGGGGAGATTTATTCCAATTTTTGCTGCTTTCTTTTCTAATATTCTCAGGAGGCAGTAATGATTATGTACTCAACAATTTTTTGTTTTTCACGCAAAAATTATATTAGACACGAAACAATGTTGACCTACGTAAGGCTTTTGAGTAAAACGAATTCAGTAAAGTTAAGACAGTAGTTTAAGTATTAAACAAACCACTAAAATCTGGTTTAATTTTTGTGTTTTCAAGCCTTTTGTAAGGTTTAGTTATTAAGAATACCTTCCATATTTCAAGAATGAATTTGATGTAGCATCTGAAGGGATCCTTGTCAACCACGCCTCTGTTTTGGCCATATACGGATAACTGCGGAGAGATTCGTTTATACTTACTCAACGCCTAGCAGGAGTCGTGCCGGCACGTAAACACTTTTTAAGTGGCGTTAAGATAGGATTCGCAAAAGGAGAAGCGTTGCGCATCCTCAAAATAGGTCCGAAGCACTTCACATTTAAAAAAAATCGTACAGAGCTTAAAAATACGACTAAAAGAGGGGAAAGAGTATACCTGACGAACTTCTGGAGAAATACGTGTCTGAAGTTATCTGCTCCAGTAGAGAAGGATCACTTCCGGCTTTACAAAAGCTCAAGAACACGCTGATGTGGAAATGTCACATTCAAAATCACATCGCCAAAAAGTATATCCTGGCCAGAACTGATCTTTGGAGACAGAAGTTTAAGATCGCTTGCAGATGGCGGGAGTGTCATGCGGGCATGTCGATACTTCAATTTTTAACTGGTCACTTGCCACTTGTGCTATGCACCCTGCGCGAAGCTTGTCGACTCTTAAATGCAGAAAAATCTCTGCCAATTGGCTATGAGTTAGATCTCTGAAATATGGAAGTAATCCTGTCTTGGAATAAAGAGTTCATCTGTTGTAGAATAAGTTGATTCGTAACACCCTGTATGTAAGGAATAACAGCAAAACCAGTCGCTGATTCTTCTGGTCTTCATCAAGAGCGTTACTATTTGTAACTGGTTTTTGGCAGTTACGGAGAAAAGTTTTTATATAGCCATTTGCCCATTTGGATTTTAGTGAAGAGCGAAACAACGTCGAAAGATACTAATTCTTCACAAGCGTTAAGAGTTTTATCTTTTATGAAATCCCCAAATTCGCAGGAATTTTTGACAGTGTAATCAGTATTCCCAACAACAGGCGACAAAATTCTCGCAAGAAAACCAGAAATTGCATAAGTCGGAGAATTAACAAAAGAGACAATTGGTCTCAAAGGAATTCCCGGTTTATGAATTTTAGGTAAGCCATAAAAACGTGGACATAAGCCGTCACTACTGTATAATATTTTGTACGTAGAGTCACTAATTTTACCAGCTTTTTGCAAATCAAGGAACAATTTTTTTACTGGTAGGATCAGAGTTTAAGACAGCATACGTACTCTTGTCATTAAGCAGAGTCAAAGCTTTGTCGTGATATTGCTGTTTGTCCATTACCACAACACAATTACCCTTGTCAGCAGATAATACGAGCCTGTCCGGATCCTTTTTGAGAGCTATAAGTGCATTGAAAACATCCTTTTGAATGTTTTTGGGAGGAGGTTTAGATCGTGACGAGGGCGGTTTGCTTCCTGACGCTTATTTACACCTCGTCAGAAAAACGTTTGGTCTATGAATTGTAACTTCGGTCACATTCATTAAATCTGCAAACCAGAGTAGCATCAAACTATGTCTGATTGTCCAGGCTGCCGTGTGAACTTTAATGTATTAGATAAGAAGGCATTTGCTTACCTTGGCTCCTTTGATCACTGAACCAGTCGGCCTACGGTTGATGAAGTTCGGGATCTTTTGGTCGGTAACGGCCCATGGAAGCGCGCTTGACAAGGTGATACAAGATGTCCTACTATTGCGCCACTTCCAAACCATTGATTCGGAAATTCCGTATTCCCTCGCTATCTCTCGATTGTTGTTAACAGCTTCAGCTTCAATTACGATTTTCAACTTAAAGTTGAGATCGTAAGAATGATGGCGAGTGTTTGGCATGATTGTGCTGAATGTAGACTTCGGTAACGGCCCATGGAAGCGCGCTTGACAAGGTGATACAAGATGTCCTACTATTGTGTCACTTCCAAACCATTGATTCGGAAATTCCGTATTCCCTCGCTATCTCTCGATTGTTGTTAACAGCTTCAGCTTCAATTACCATTTTCAACTTAAAGTTGAGATCGTAAGAATGATGGCGAGTGTTTGGCTCGATTGTGCTGAATGTAGACTTCGCAAGATAATGTTCACCAGGTGAAGTAAATTTGCGACTACTGATTTTGTTGATCGAATTGTTTTTATACTTTAAAACCATGTTTCCCGAGAGGGAAGGCTAAAAATTAATGTGTACCGATAGGTTGTCATTAAATGTGTGACCTTTTTTGCCTTTGTTTATCACTGTGATTAAATGTGTGACATTTTTCGGCTTTTGTTTATGTGTGTGATATTTTGGTTTTGTTTAATCAAGGCTTTTGTTTGTGCGCGTGGTCGCGTGTGCGACAATTCTGCTTTTGTTAATTAACGGTAAACTAAAATCAATACGCGACTTTTTCGCTTTTTTGTAAGTTTATGAAAGAATTTACAATAAACTTGACCGATCTTTACTCCCCAAACAACGATGCGCCTTATAACCAAGTATTTTAGCGATATTTTCAGTTTGAAAACATGCAATAATGAAATTGCCAAATTGGGGGTGCGTCTTATAGCCGAGTGCGCCTTATACCGAATAACTACGGTAGTATGGAGGTAATTACCAGCACTGATCTGGTTCTTACTTGTTCTGCACTTTTCCATGCAGACCGTTTCCTATGAAACGATCATAATCCATGTATTTTTTTTGTTTTGAAAGGCACCAAATTTAAAACTAAAAAGTTTAGTCCAGTTGCAATGTGATGAATCACTTGCTAACTTTTCTTGCTCAAATTCTACTGAGGAATATTGGCCATCCGTTGTTTTTTTGAGGAACTCAGGAAAATGTTCTCTTATGGCCTTCAGGCTTGGTAAGAAGTTATCATTTGCAGTTATGCCTGAATTATTCTGCTGCAAATTTACATTTATAAAATGAACGAGAGACAGTTGATTTCATTTTGATTCATATTTTATATTTTTAATATGGTTGACGTGGTGGGCATGGTCACCAAATCCACCGTGTAGGAGTGGCCTCTCCCTCCTAAGTTGAAACATTTTTATTTCTTTGATAGAAAAAAAAAATGAAAATTTGAGGTAAGGCAATGCACTTGCAAGGAGATGTAACCCAACTGTCAACTATACTCACAAGATCTAAATAAATTACCCTTTTGCCCTAAAATCCCTATTTGTATTATCATAGATTTTTATCTTTCAATGCCTGCTTATGGCAGCTTTTGTTGGATTGGAAATAAAACAGTCTTTGTATATGTGTATGTGCTGGAAACTGTTGCAATGGACCTTCAAAGGGTTTTTTATTTGATCTATATTAAATTTTAATTTCTTTGTCAACAGTCAAAAATAATCATATAGTATCACCTTTTTTTTCCTTCTCACCTTTAAATCTTTGAAAAATTATTTAATCTTCTATTTGAGAATTGTTAAGAAATGGAATTTATTTTAATACAAATTAGGATTTACACTGTTTAGTAGTATCATTTGTGGCTCTAATGAAACAAACAATGTATTTTCACAGTTGTTAGCTTCAAATCTTTGTTGGACAGTAAGAAAAAATTTTGATATGTATGAAATGGAAGCATCATACCATGGAAAATGCTTGAACAATTTTTATCCACTTGTCGCGTCGATCAAAAAAATTCACTAGTTCACTAGGCTCACATGTTAATTTTTGTTTGATGCAATAAATCTCATTTGTGCACACTTTCCATCGAATAATCTCTGTTTGTTGCAGATTGAAAAATATTTTTTTGGGCCCCATACTGTTTCTAAAATTTAACTTCTTTTCGCATGAGCATGATAAATTAAAGATTTTCTAAATACTGTGGAAAATGGCATCTAAAACAAATGTTAGCCCAGTTTATTGTAATGTCAGTTGTTGTTAGGTTACTGTTTACTTTACTTCACCATTCCACTTCTTCTTCCCCTTCTCTTTTTTATTATTTTTCTTGTCCACATCTATTTTATGAAAAAAACAATACTTGGTCTGAACAAGTTTATTAAAAATACTGCACGACTTCTATAATTGTATTAGAAAAGGTTTCTCTGAAGTGACAATATTGAACCAAGTGATGGTAACATTGCAAAATTATGAACTTCTACTTTACTGGAAATGGTCAAAGGAAAAACAGTTTGCTAACCAGACATCATTTCATATTGCTTAGACTTTAACAGGAAAGTTGTATTTCAAGGAGGCTATGATGTCACTTTTCCAACTTCCTACAGAGGGGAAAGACTATTCACTGTGTACAGTTGCATGACATTTTGTGGAATCATAGCATTATAGAAGAAAAGAAAATATTACCGTTGACATTTACCTAAATCACTGCCTTCAGGGGGTGGTCCTTCAGGTAGATCTTCATTATCTATTGTATAAAAACTAAACGTATGTAATTGTCAATTTGAAAAAAAAGGTATTTTATTTAAATCAAGGTAAAGCATTATACAATGAGCTAACCTAACAAAACTTCATTGCAAAGAGTTTAAAAGTGAAATTGTGTTTCAAGGAGGCCATGATGTCACTTTTCCAACTTCTTAAAGAGAGGGAAGACTATAAATTGTTTACAGATGCATTACATTTCGTGAAATCATGGCATTATGGAAGAAAAGGAAAATTTTATTTTCCAGTCAACACTTACCTAATCTCCACCTAAAGGAGGTGGTCCTTTGGGTAGATCTTCACCATCTTTGATATAAACAGTAAACTTAAGAAATTGCCAATGTGGGGAAAAAGTATTGTATTTCAACATTAAGGAACAGATGTGTTGTGAAAATATTTTGTCTAAATTGACCATCTAAGTTATATTTTTGTCATGTGGTTGTAGAATATATTTGTTGAATAGCATATTATTTATTATGCATATGTAATCTTACAAACATTTAAATCTTAACCTAGTTTAATAATTGTGGTTCAAGTAAGTTAACATTCTGTTGTAAAACTAACACTCACCTTCTTGGTTTAAATGAAGACCATGTGTGAGAATAAATTGAAATGTTTCCACTTTAATTGTGTAAATGAGTTTGTTAGTAACCTGTGGTTATAAAAATCTTATTAAAATAATTCCATGTAAGTGGTTCAGTGCCTTGACAAAGATTATTAGGGAGTATGTCTGAGCGTTCATTTGAAATGGCAGTTTTAAGCCTTGAATTAATTTTTCAAGAATGATATGCGTCGCAAAGTAAACTGATCTTGACATCCTGACAAAACAAATACCATAATTTTCACGTGATTGTTTATTCCAATTTAAGATAAGACTTTGTTGAGATATCGTTGTAACAAGTAGTATTGAGATTGAAATTAGAGTAATAACTCCTTTACGTCTGGAAATATATGAAAATCATATACGTGCACTGCGGTGAAGAAACAGATAGAAGCGATCCTCGTAGCTATGAACACTACTGAAGTAGTAGTAGAAATAAGATCTGAAAAAAATTCAGGCCCGTGCGGGTAGAGAGTTGCACCGGTATCGCTGAGGTCATCAGCTCAAATCCTTTATTGAGATTGAAATTAGAGCAATAACTCCTTTAACGTTTTGCTTGATTGTGGGAAATGAGTAAAACAAATAACAGCGATGTGCTTTCTACTCACCTTCCTCAAAATAGCTCTTCCATTCACCTTTTATCACGGTGAAAGATGGCGGGAAAATAGTTGCTGCCCGGCATTTCCTTCATCTGGCGAGAAAATCCAAGGTGTTAATTGTTAGAGAGCAAAATCGCCTGTTTCAGTTTCGCGGTCTCATTTTGCCCCCTTATCGTTGTTTTCAGAGGTACTGCCTCGTTTAATCCAGTTGCTTAGTAAGTTTCTGAGCGCCTTCTGCGTTTCTGGATACCAATTATCTGAGATATGGGATGATGTGTGTCGTGCTTTATGAGCACTAGCAGTGTTTTAGAGGTGGAGACTGCAATTTCACATACTTGTCCATACATGCCCCAATATTAAACGAGTCCTTGCATTTTCTGGTTGCATATTGTTGGAAAACTTTTTAACGGTTTACACAATCTTCAGTTCGTTCCTTTTTTTGAAAATGTTCGACTTCTCGCTGCAAGCTATTTTATGGAGACCCCCAAAAATTGAAGTTACGGATTGAAATCCATTAAAATACGCGCTCTACTTTTGGGCTTGGCCAAATCTATGCATTATACCTCAAAATAAGTAGACTCATTTGCAAGAATTTCGGAGTTAATGTAATGTGTTTCCTCAGGATGGACGTGGAGGGGAAGTCGACTAAAACGAAGCTTTAGCCAAAAAATGAAATAGGATGAAACGCTAGTGATGAAAGAAGAGATTTGTTAGCAACAATATTTGAGTAAACTAATACTCAAATCCTCTAGGCTGTTTTATATAAACAATAAACATACCATTTCTCTCGAAATTAAGAGACTTACGTCAATATCTCCACTAAACTTTATTCACTTTAATTTTAAATATTTTCGCGGTCAGAAATTATTGTCTTAACTTTTAAGGGAAAATGAAAGAAATCAGACAAAAAACGAATCATGCGTGACGCGAAACTTAAAATCGAATCTCACGATTTTTTTTCTTTCGTTGTTTAGATAGTTTAAATTTTGTTATTCCGACCTACCTGCAGATAGCTTGTTCCGTCATCTGTTACTCCTCCTATTGCCACATCATAGTAACTCAAATTATTTGATGCTACTCCAGCAATACCGAAACCAACCCAACCTGTGGTTCTTACTTGCACCATAAACTCCAGTGTGTCTGCGGCCTCATTGTAGTTGTCGGAAACATTGTAATTTTCTTTGCCATCAGGCATGATCATGTTGGAATACATGTTGTACATACTGCTACTTTTTGTGGAAGCCACAAACAACGCTAAACTATACAACTGAACAAAAGCCATTTTCGTCGTCAAACATCGGCCTCGCCTTCACTGAGGAACAGTAGCCTTGAATGACCGTGCATTTTCGTAATTGTCCGTTTTATAGCTTTTTTCTAATTAGTTACGTAGCCAATGTCTGTCGGTGGTATATTTTGTATTTTTACCTTTGTTTTGGCTTCAAATCAAGCTAAGTGCAATAACAGAAAACAGGAAGCAGCAATTAGAGGAAAAAAAAGATATGCGAAGAGAATATTCAAGAGGAGAGTTTTCAGTGATAACAGGATGGGAAATCAAGGAAACCAGTTGCTTTCTGACTGAGATATTTCCTTTTACGGTGAATCTGAAGGGATCAGTATTGAATCATGCAAAAGCTGGAATAATTTGGTAGCTTAATCAGATGAGCACGGAGATCTCAAATACTATTCCGATAAAGGGAAGTGATAAACTGCAAGCGAATGAAGTGAAAGAAAGGTAGAAAATACATAGGTAAAAAAGTGACATCTTAACCAGCTGAAAATTAGCCAATGATATCTGAGAAATATCCAAAAAGCAAAATCTATTTAAATTTAGGCAATTCGTTGGTAATTTTGGGCCTACTTGTTACAAATAACCGCTGGTCTTAAAGTGTGAGTCCAGCATTGGAACAGTATTGGTCGAGTAAGATAAATTAATCAACTACCTTCGCTTTCAACCATTATTGACAGAAAGTTTCCCTAATTTGAAAACACATGTACTTGACTTAACGCTTAAATATGTTGTCAATATATCTGATGAGCATCGCTGACAGATAATAGCGAGAAGAGTGTAGGCGCCAGCACACACCCTCTGCTCTTTTTGTAATGCAAGTCACAATGCACTTACTGGAAAAAGTCCAGATGTATGGACCATCTACTAGAATGTCCAGTCTCACCCCCGTGAAGGTGGTAGTAGTACACCACATACCTTAGGACAAATATTGTTACGTAAACCTTGGAACGTTGCATCAGTCGCTCGGGGAGTGCCACAAGGCTACAGAATATCTCCAAAAAGCGCTTGTCATCACAACTGAAATTGGCGATAGAAAAGAAGAAGGATTTTGTTATGGACAACTAGGTACTGTGGTTCTGGTTGTTCAGGCCATATGACAAAGCTAAAAAGTATCTCCAAAAAGCGCTTGTCATTGCAATTGAAATTGGCGACAGAAAAGGAGAAGGATCATATTATGGAAGCCTAGGTGCTGTGTTCCAGTTGTGCGGGCAATACGACAATGCTAAAAAGTATCTCCAAAAAGCGCTTGTCATCGCAATTGAAATTGGCGACAGGAAAGGAGAAGATCATATAACGGAAGCCTGGGTGCTGTGTTCCAGTTCTGCGGGCAATACGACACGGCTAAAGAGTATCTCCAAATAGCGCTTGTCATCACAACTGAAATTGGCGACAGAAAAAGAGGGGCAACTGACTACGGAAACCTAGGTACTGTGTTTCATTCGCTCGGGCAATGCGACAAAGCTAAAGAGTATCTCCAAAAAGCGCTTGCCATCAGAACGGAAATTGACAACAGAAAAGGAGAGGCAGCTGACTACGGAAACCTAGGTGCTGTGTTTAAGTCGCTCGGACAATACGACAAGGCTAAAGAGTATCTCCAAAAAGCGCTTGTCATCACAACTGAAATTGGCGACAGAAATGGAGAAAGAACATGTTATGGAAACCTAGGTACTGTGTTCCAGTCGCTCGGGCGATACGACAAGGCTAAAGAGTATATCCAAAAAGCGCTTGTCATCACAGCTGAGATTGGCGACTGAAAGGGGGAAGAATCATGTTCTACAAGCCTAAGTAATGTGTTCCAGTCGCTCGGACAATACGACAAGGCTAAAGAGTATCTCCAAAAAGCGCTTGTCATCACAACTGAAATTGGCGACAGAAATGGAGAAAGAACATGTTATGGAAACCTAGGTACTGTGTTCCAGTCGCTCGGGCGATACGACAAGGCTAAAGAGTATCTCCAAAAAGCGCTTCTCATCGCAACTGAAATTGGCGACAGAGAAGCAGTAGGATCATGTTATGTAAACCTACGTGTTGTGTTCGAGTCGCTCGGGCATTACGACAAGGCTAAAGAGTATCTCCAAAAAGCGCTTGCCATTACAAGCGAGATTGGCGACAGAAGAGGAGAAGGATCATGTTATTTAAACTTAGGTACTGTGCTCCAGTCCCTCGGGCAATACGACAAGGCTAAAAAGTATCTTCAAAAAGAGCTTACCATCAGAACGGCGATTGGCGAGTTAAACGGAGAAGGAATATGTTATGTAAACCTAGGTACTGTGCTCCAGTCACTCGGTCAATACGACAAGGCTAAAGAGTATTACCAAAAAGCGCTTGTTATCTTAACTGAAACTGGCGACAGAGAAGCAGTAGGATCATGTTATGAAAACCTAGGTACTGTTTTCCAGTCACTCGGGCTATACGACAAAGAGTATTACCAAAAAGCGCTTGTTATTTCAACTGAAATTGGCGACAGAGGAGGAGAAGGATCATGTTATGGAAATCTAGGTGATGTGTTCAAGTCGCTCGAACAATAGGACAAGGCTAAAGAGTATCTCCAAAAAGCGCTTGCCATCAAAACGGCGATTGGCGACAGAAAAGGAGAAGAAACATGTTATGGAAACCTAGGTAGTGTGTTCTAGTCACTCGGGCAATACGACAAGGCTAAAGAGTATTACCAAAAAGTGCTTGTTATCTCAACTGAAATTAGCGACATAGGAGGAGAAGGATCATGTTATGGAAATCTAGGTGCTGTGTTCAAGTCGCTCGGGCAATACGACATGGCTATAGAGTATCTCCAAAAAGCGCTTGCCATCATAATTGAAATTGGCGACAGAAAAGAAGAAGGATCGTGTTATGGAAACCTAGGTACTGTGTTCCGTTTGCCTGGGCAATACGACAAGGCTAAAGAGTATCTCCAAAAAGCGCTTGTCATCGCAACTGAAATTGGCGACAAAAATGGAGAAGGATCATGTTATGGAAACCTAGGTACTGTGTTCCATTCAATCGGGCAATACGATGAGGCTAAAGAGTATTTCAAAGAAGCGCTTCTCATTACAACAGAAATTGACAACAGAGAAGGAGAAGGATCATGTTATGCAAACCTAGGTAGTGTGTTCGAGTCACTTGGGCAATACGACAAGGCTAAAGAGTATCTCCAAAAAGCGCTTGTCATCGCAACTGAAATTGACCACAGAAAAGGAGAAGCAGGTGACTACGGAAACCTAGGAATTATTTTTAGAATTTTTGGAGATTATGAAGCTTCGGAAGTATACTTGGAGAAAGCTTTATCCATACCCAGAGATATTGGAGGTAGAAGATTTGAGTTCGAAGTCCTTCGAGAGTACGCCATTTTGTATTTATTTCAGAATAAAATCAAGGACTCCCTTGCGTGTCCTCATCTGTGCATTGAAAAGTATGACGAGCTGAGATATTTCTTAGGCGCCAATGATCAGTTCAAAACATAATTTCTGGAAAACTCAGGAATATTTCCCTACAAGCTGCTTTGCACTCTGCTTTGTAAAACCGGAAATACTGGTGATGCTCTTTATGTTCAGGAGTTGGGTCGAACTAGAGGCCTATCAGATTTAATGGCCGAGAAGTACTTGGTTGAATCGCACATCTCTGCTAATCCACAATCTTGGTTTGGCATTGAAAACGTTTTTAGAAAGAAAAATAACTGTTCTTGTCTGTACATTTCTTTTTTTGAAAATGAGCTGCATTTGTGGATTTTGAAAACAACTGAAGTCCTTTATTATAAAAGAATATCACTAGAAGAGAATCTAGTTCAGGCTGGGTTGCCCAAAGATTTGCCTTTGAGTCAATTTTTGGCTGATTATTTCCGGAGCCTTGGTATTTTACCCATTGAAGATTGAGAAGATCTGTCTTTAAATATGGTTGAATTGCAACCTCTCTCTCCCTCGAACAAAAGAGCTCAGCAAGATTGCGACTCATGGAGAAGCACGAGGAGGACGGAGTCGTTTCAAGTCTATCTTTGTGTTACAAACTGTTTATTGCCCCCATTTATGATTTGCTTGAGGAGCCTGAAGTCATTATTGTTCCTGATCGCAGTTTGTACAAAGTTCCCTTTGCTGCACTGAGTGAAAAGGAGGGAGTCCAACACCTGTCGGAGACTCATAGGATCCGTGTCATTCCTTCTTTGACAATACTCAAGTATTGAGTGGGCTTCGTTAACGCTGATTGGAGATGATGTGAAGCTCGAGTTTGCCATGCAGAGATGAGACTTGATGAGAACAGATATCTCATAAATTAAAGTTAATTTAGGTGTGAAGGTGGCTATGACTTACTGGTCGCTGACTGTCGGCGGGGATCCTTTGTTAACTTGAACATCAAGGCTAGTTTTATATAGATCTATATCTATGTTTATATATATCTATATATCTATATTTACATATATATATATATATATATATATATATATTTCTTTCTTTTTTTTCTTTTGGATAGTTATTATCGACGCTCTCTGGTGTAAAATATAGAATTGCGAAAGTGCCTCTCTGCCGTTCGGATATAATTGTTAGCCTTATATATATTTACATATTGTGCTTCGTATAATTGTATTTGCTTTATATCCCAAATATTAATTCAGTTAATAATAAATTGTTGCTTCTCACTTTTTTACAGGAAAAAAGACCCCGACAGAGTAAATAATGTGAGTTACTCGAAGGAAACAGAGCTAAAAGACTTTTAGATGGATAAATTAAATAGAAACAAGTAAGGAAAATACTTTATCCGGTATTTCATTAAAACTGAAAAAAGAGTTATCCCAAATTAAGGGAGATCTATTTCAATTTTTTGTGCTTTCTGTTCCAATATTCTCAAAAGGATACATTGGTTATGTACTCAGAATGTTGTTGTTTGTATTTGTGAAATAATAAGCACGAAATAATGTTGACGTAGGTAAGGCTTTAAAGAAAAAGCGAAATCAGTAAAGTTAAAACAGTAGTTTAGGTATAAAACGAACCACTAAAATCTGGTTTGGTTCTTTTTTCAAAGCCTTTTGTAAATTTTAGTTAATAAAACCTTCAATATTTGAGGAATGATTTGATGTAGCATCTTGAAGGATCTTTGTCAACCACGGCTCTGTTTTTGTTAACATACGGGCAACTTCTGAGAAATTCGTTCGTATTAACTCAACGCTTGGCAGGTGTCGTGCCGGCCGTAAACACTTTTTAGCTGGGGTAAAGAAAGGATTCGCAAAAGGAAAAGTGTTAAAAGGAATGCTGTTTTATTAATATCGTCCTGTGCCTATCAAGTCAAGTAATGTTATGCAAAAATCGCAACCGAAGAGATATGAATTTATTACAAAGCGGCTTCGTTAAACCTTTGTGGTTTCACATCTCACCAATCATCCTCGTCAGCTATAAAACATTGGCATGCTATGCATGCAAGAGTTATTTGGGGGGTGGGTGGATTACTTGAAACATTGTCAGTGATGTCTACATTCTTACAAAAGGAAAGAGGAGTATTAACGCGGAAAAGAACGAAAATGTCGAATTAACTCACACACAGGAATTATGTGGTAGAGTGTGTATGAAGTGTGAATAACTGTAACCAAAAATAAACTGTATTAGTGTCACGGATACTTGTTAGTACAAAATGCAGACTGCACACTGCAGACCGGATACAAAATGTAGACTAGGACGAAATGCAGACTGAGAATCTAAAGAGTTTTTTTTCGTCTGGTATGTGATAACATGTCAACTTACAACTTACCGAGCGTCACGCAATGGCTTTTCCGCGATCAGCTTTCACGATTATTTGCACTATTGTGGAATATTCCTGGTCCATTTCTTGATGAAAATCGATCGTAATATAATTTCAAGCCTTCATATAGTCTTCTCACTTTGCGCGCGAGTTAGTTGATGTGATGTCTGTACAGATTTCAGTTTACCAAAGTAATAAAAGTAGATGTAGATGTTGAGGAGATGTCACATGAATATTTAACACGCGCAACATTCGAGAAACAATTGACAGCTTTGCACGCGGTCCGTCTTATCATCTTTTTAAGCGGTATGTGTTTATTTTGTATACGAAAATGAGGACCGGGACCAAAAGTGTTCCTTCGGCTTGATTAATTTTTCTACGTTTGTAGATCACATCATATTAACTTATCTCTGTTGTGGTTCAATTTTATTCTTGGTTCAAATTTCGTTTCCTTTTGTTTTTGGGTATTGTAATTTTCGATAATGAATTTGAAACAAAGCAAAATAAAATTTGAACCAAGGATAAAATTGAACAAAACATTTCCGTAAATCATTCATTCCATATAAGAAAATCAAATAAACATGCTAACGATGGTATCTGAATTCGTCCTTGGCCAAACACAAACGACTCCACAAGATCACTTTCTCCAGCTGCAGGCATTGAAAACATACACAAAATCGTCCATGGTTAATTTTAATCAGACATTCATCTGAGGATAGCACCGATCAAACCAATCCTGAAAAGTACGATCGGCACACTCAACAAATCATGAATCTTGCAACACAGCTTGCCGTTAAAGAACCGCTCAAATCAAAATGTTTGGTGCAGTTCATCAACACCTCAAGCAATATTTAATTCAAAATTTTTCCCCTCACTCTCGTCGTGAAGGAACGATAACCATGATCATGTTATAGCGCACAGAACTCCATTTACTCTCGAATAACTATCCACCATCTTCACAGCATGAGTAACTCGCCTGATATCTTTCATCTGTCCAGTCTCATGAAGCGCGGTAAAATACACCTTTAAAACACAGAAAAGCCAACATTTCTCATTCTAATTCCATTCTACGAACCGCTCTCTCCGAGTCCCCCTGTCACAGTGATATGTGTACCCCCGTGATATGTGTACCCCCGCACACATATCACTAGTGATATGTGTACCCCTGGTAGGGATACACAAAACACTGAAGCTTTGCACCCGGGCCTTTTAGAGCTTCAAAGAAAACATGGTGGCTACGAGGAACAAATTTTGTGGTTTTATATTTTAAAGTTTCCGATCCAAAATATAAACGGAAGAAGATCACAATGCAACTGAATAACAAGGTAAGAGGTGTTTTTATATTTCCAAAACCTTTAAAATAGTTACATGGATTTCAGTCGTTTCGCCAGCATTTAATTTAAGTACCAACGATTAGTTCGCTCGAGCCACTGCTCGAAACTAGCGTTTGTCCTGTCGTTTGCGACAACTTAAAAGTGTGTTTGCGCAATAAGTTGTTTTGGTGGATAAAGGTCTAGAACTTTACCGCGTTTGGAAACTATTTCGTGTTCACGTTCCGTAGTTCACATCAATCACTCACTATACATCAAAACCATTTGAATTCATTTTTAAACGGGGCTTCTATGTTGTTGATATTTTTTTTTGGTTTGTTTTTGTTTTGAAATCTGTACGGCCCTGGACAACCAAGTCCTTATCATGGTAACCGAAGTCTTGGTTTTCCAGTATTTGCCAGTATGGACAGCCTGGATATTTTTCTGCACTGTTTTTGTTGTGTCTAATAAGTGCTCATAAAAACAACAGGCCAACTAATTTGAACTACATGCGAAAGATCAGGTAATTTTATTGATAAATCAACATGGTTGTATAGATTATGAAAATGATTGTTAACTGATAATATTAATCTACTAGTAAAGTGATATCCACTGCATGGTAAGCGATATCTACTTGCAATGTTTCAGTGTTCCTCAAATGTATATGTACTATCCAATAAATATTTCAGAGCAAACTTTTGTTCTACTTTATAAATGTCACATATTCTTGTAAAATAGCAGTAACACTACAAAAAAACTTAACATTGTTTCAAAGCCTAATAATGCTGATGAATTTGTGAACAAGCCACCTGTAAATCAATGGGCAAACTCTAAAACTGGGTTTGTTACAGAAGTGAAACCTATCAGACAATGCAAAAAAATATCAACAAACTCCAAGAAGGGAAGTACCCTCTGGAAAAAGGCATTTATGGATAGGCTTGTTAACAATGACTAACAAATGGTGATTTTTTTTCTTTTTCAAATTGTGATACTTTTTAATGATTTATTCCATGGTATTGATTTCATCTGTAAAACTCTTGTATTTTATGTAGTTGACAATTAGCACCATGGCTTCATTGAATTACCATTGCCAAAATCATTTACTTTTCCTTTTTCTTGTGCTAGTACTTTAGCCTGAGTTGTCATTGAAGTGTTTTGGCCTGACATTTTGTTGAGTGGTGAGACTTTTTCAGTTTTATGAGGTAGGGGGTTTAATAGTCTTCAGAGGGGTCATGCCAGAACAGTTGGTTTGAAAGTGGAGCCAACCAAATAAAAATGGTCAGTTTGGAGAGGAAGGGGTTTAACCCAAATAACTACTCTTAAGTGTCACACAATTATGGTAACAAGGGGTGGGGGCAGGGAAAAATTTTGATGAAAAGGGGAAGTCATCACATATTATAGTGACTATCTACCACCCCACCACATAAAAATTGACAGTCCCTAATATTTTCAATAACCATTTGCCTTAAAAAATAGATGTCTGTATCTAAGCAATTTGGCAGTTATTGCACTTCCATTGAAACCTTTTATACTTGAAAACTTTGTCAGGAATTTTTTGGCAAGCTTGATGGAACCACTTCTTGCAATTGGTGCATTCTGCCATCTGGTCTTTGGTTGGATTGTATGGGAGGCGGCAGTCACAGTACACTGGCATGGCAACAGTCTCTTCATAACCAATGCTTGATTTTTCCTCAAAGGGGAATATACCAATGTATCCATTTTTAAGGGAATCTAAGAGATGTGCCCTTATTGCCCGCCTGTTGAACTTAAGTGATGTGGGGTCCATATTATGGGAAGTGCTTTGCTATTAGAGTTACCATGTGATATGTTTGATTTTCCTCAAAGTCCCCAAATGGCACATTGAACTTGAGATCTACCCTTTCGATCATCTCTTTATCCCTGTCTGATAATATTCTTCCATGGAAAATTTCATGTCGCCAGCTTTCCTTGGTGCCACTGAGTACTTCTGAAAGGTGATCTTTGATTACTTTGTCAAAGCAGGAAGCAATGTCCTTCTTTGAAATGTTCTGTATTTTTTTGTTTGGTTCAAAGGGCTGGTATTTTGCCGGTTGCTGAGCCCCTGGCAGATTAGGTGGTTTTGGCTGCCTGGAAGGTGCTTGCTGATTAAGTGATGTTTGCTGTTTGGAAGGTGCTGGCTGATTAAGTGATGTTTGTTGTTTGGAAGGTGCTGGCTGATTAAGTGATGTTTGCTGTTTGGAAGGTGCTGGCTGATCAAGTGATGTTTGCTGTTTGGAAGGTGCTAGCTGATTAAGTGATGTTTGCTGTTTGGAAGGTGCTGGCTGATTAAGTGATGTTGGCTGGCTGGAAGGTGCTAGCTGATTAGGTGATTTTGCTGGTTTAAAGGTGCTGGCTGATGAGGTGATGTTTGCTGTTTGGAAGGTGCTAGCTGATTAAGTGATTTTGCTGGTTTAAAGGTGCTGGCTGATGAGGTGATGTTTGCTGTTTGGAAGGTGCTGGCTGATTAGGTGATGTTGGCTGGCTGGAAGGTGCTAGCTGATTAGGTGATGTTGGCTGGCTGGAAGGTGCTAGCTGATTAGGTGATGTTGGCTGGCTGGAAGGTGTAGGTTGATTTGGTTGTGTTGGCTGGCTAGAAGGTGCTGGCTGGTGATGTTCTTTTGGCTGCTTGGAAGGTGCTTGAAGTTTGGGGCACTTCGACCGCGGCATTGGTGTTGGCTGATTGGGTGGTACTTTTGGTTGGGGAACCTTTGTCCGTGGCATTGGTGTTGGCCGGTGGTGTGGTGCTGGCTGTTGGTGTGGTGTAGGCTGCTTGGATGGTGCTTGTTGGGATGACATTAACTGCTGTATTGTGGCCGTTTTGGTTGGCGATAGCTGCTGGGATTGTTTTGGCTGCTGCAATGGTGTTGCAGGCTGCATAGATGGTACTGGCTGCTGCGATGGCGCCTGTTGTTGATGTTGGAGTGCTGTCGCTGAATGCTGAGAAGAACAGTGAGGATGCTGCAATGGTGGTTGTGCTGTCTGCTGAGCTGTGGATTGAACCCTGTACGCTTTGAGGTCTTTCATGTTCACTATCCTTCTTAGTTTCTCGCCACTTTTCCACGTAACCTGCAGGTTCCCTTTTGTAAGTCAACCTCTTCTATGGTGTATGGGCCAGTCCACTGGTCTTCCATTTTGTGCCCCTTTTTTGTCTTTTGGAGCATATTGCGGCGTAGAACAGCATCACCCTTCTTCAATGTGCAGTCGAAGCCTCCTTTTCTTTTTAAGAACTGCTTCTTTTGCTTTTCTTGTGCAGCTTCTATGTTTCCCTGCACTCTTGGGAAAAGTGCATCTCTTTGTGGCTGTCATTTGTTGCACATGCTCCTGGAGGACATCCTCTGAGTTTAATTCCCTTGCCAGTTTTTCAATTTCGCTGGGGTCGTTATCGACGTGCTTTACATACTTTTTGGACTTCAAGAGGCAAACGTGGATGCCTACCATACATTAAATAGAATGGGCTGAACTTGGTGGTGTTTGATCTGTTGGTGTTAATTGCAAAAAGAGCACCATCCGTGTACTCGTCCCAATCCTGATCGTGGTCATCCGCAATCTTCCTAAGGGTACTAAACAAAAGTGACAAGTGCAGTAAATGGCTTGAACCCAGGGGTAACATGTGAAAGTGGAGGCTGATCGTCCGGGTGAGTGTGGTCCTGAGAAGGACTGTTGTCGTTGGTAGTGACTGACGTTTCGACAACCTGTGCGGAAGTCATCATCAGAGTCAAGTGAATGATTGTTGTCGGTAGAATGTTCTTATTCCAGTTCGTGGAAAATGATTGGCACCAACCATTTTATACGAACTGGAATAAGAACATTAGGTAGGTAGTAATTAGATGATGTATTACCTGCTCTTGTAATTCTGATAATATGTAATATTTAACATCTTTGCATTCGCTTCAGTCCGTAGTTTTAACACTGGAATCCCAAGCCATTACCGAATGGAAATAAACTTTGAAAGCACTAGCTTAGCTTAATGATATTTTAGGTAGCATGTCATGCCCTCTTTCATCTCACTGATAGGAGTTAAGAGTTATTTTTAGACAGAAAATGATTGCAACGCTCACTTCTTTATTGACTGGTTTGATCTCTCATCTAGGCCATTAGACTCCGGATGATATGCTGACGCGATCCTCTGGTGGACACCAAATGTTGTCATGAAGCGCTCGCACACCTGCAACAGAGACAATGAAGCAACGTCATGCAAGCCCCTACACAGATGTCTGTCAAAGGTTTCCGTTGTATAAAACGCTGACCTACCTGGTTAACGAATTCTCTACCCTGGTCTGAAATGATGTGAGCAGGGGCTCCATGGCGACAATATGCTTTGTAAAGGCCCTTTGCTACGCTTACGGCACTCTTGTCTGGCAGAGGAATTGCCTCTACATACTTGCTAAAGTAATCCGTCATTGTCAGAAGATAGCGGTTTCCTTGGGCAGAAACTTTGCCGGCATCTATTAAATCAATACCGACTAGGTACCAAACTTTAGAAACCACCTTCACGGGATGCAGCACGTCGTAACTTTTGCTTTCACTGGTATTACGTTGACACCGGTCACAATTTCGAATCTGTTTGTGTAAGAGAAGGCCACACTTAGAGAAGCATTGAGAGAACATAGAGAAGCCTATGATTCTTTTATTACAACATCTATTGGAAGTAAAGAAAATTCATTGTTTTATAAATATTTTACCATTATTGTTGTTAAATGCCTTTTATTATATGGCTGTGTCTCACAAGTACTGGGAACTACAGAATTCACAAATTTGACTGACTATTTCACATGGCTGATCTCGCTGAAAGAATCATGCTCTTTACTTGAGCCCGCTTTTTGCAAAACCGCGACTTTTCAGGCCTCTTTTTTAAATAATTGCCACTGAAACGCTAGTGTTAAGATGCATGAATTGTGACAGACCGTGATGGTATCAAATGTTATTCAACACCAATGCCTCTACGTCTATACATTTTATTAAACTTACCAATTCAACAGTATCCTTGTAGTAAGAGGGCCAGTAGTAGCGCTCCTTAATTTTTTGTATGGTGTTGTCCCGCCCAGCGTGGCCCGCAAAGGTGAAGAGTGACACTCGTCGAAAACTCTTGTCTTTTCCTCCTCTTGAATGACCATGCGGTTAAAGGTTAATCCATCGTTACCACGGTCGACGTAGAAAAGCGAGCCTGATTGTACATCAAACGTGAACTGTTTCGAAAGTCTCCGTAACACTCCTTTTTCACGCTTGCTTGCGCCCTCTGGATACTCTTTATCTCTCAAATAATGAACCAGATTTGAATATTTTGTGGCATCCATCTTAATAATTCTCGTAAGATGCGAATTTCCCGCGAAAGAAAGGTCATAAGTATACAAGGTCCAACTTCCTAATTTGGGCATTGTTTAATAGAGGAATTTCCGGTGGGTAGAAGCGTTGCGTGAGAACAGTTAAATCAACGTAGCATCTACGCCTAATGGAATAATTTGTTGTATTTAAGAAAGGGTTCCTGGTTCTATAAATATGCGCCCATGGGTGCGGAATTGAAATATTGATTAGAAATTGTTTTTGGTAAAGTGTCTAGCCAAACAAAAGCGCTTACAGGCCAGGGATACCAATTTTACTGCGATCAACGTTCACTGATATGTGTATCCCAACATATCACAAACGTTTGCTTCCCACTGTGCCTATGAGTGCGATTTTGAAATATTTTATTGATTAGAAATTGCACTGGGCTAGAGAGGCCAGGATACACACATCACTACTGAATCACCGTCCAGTGATATATATCAATAAACATCAGGGGATACACGTATCACAGAAAAGCGATCGCAGTGATTTTAGATCACACTTCTGTTAATTTTGACTCAATAATACACTTACAAGCCATACTTAGCCAGTATTTTGCTGGACAGATAAAAACGCTTGCTTTAGTAAGGGGATACAAATACTAACTACGATTGCCGTGATATGTGTATCCAAAGTGTATCCACAAGATATAATGGGGATACACATATCACTGAACGGCGATCGCAGTGATATGTCTATCCCCCGAGTAACTCGCTGTCGTCTGTCAATTTGGAATCAATAATACACTTACTAGCCATATATAAGCTTAGGTAGTAATTTGCTGGACAGACAAAAGCGCTTGCTTTACCAAGGGATACACATATTGACAGCGATTGCCGCGATATGCGTATCCACATTGTATCCCCAAGATGTATTGGGGATACACATATCACTGAACGGCGATCGCAGTGATATGTGTATCCCCTGACTAACTCGCTGTCGTCTGTCAATTTGGAATCAATAATACACTTACTAGCCATATATAAGCTTAGCTAGTAATTTGCTGGACAGACAAAAGCGCTTGCTTTTTACCAAGGGATACACATATTGACTGCGATTGCCGCGATATGCGTATCCACATTGTATCCCCAAGATGTATTGGGGATACACATATCACTGAACGGCGATCGCAGTGATATGTGTATAAAAATTGCTGTCAGTTGGTGAAATATTTCATGCACTTACGTACTAGCCAGTAAAGGAGCTAGTAGCAAGTAATTTCAGTGCTAGACAGGCGACAAAGCCGATACGATTGTAGTCACCAGTGATATGTGAATCCCTAAGATATATTTTTGTTTAAATGACAATTTCGATTCCTTTATATTTCCAATAGATTGTTTGATGTTTGCTACTGGCCCATAAGAACTGTCGGACTCGCGAGTCGTGTCTTTACAGTTCTGATTGTGGAAGATGGTTCAGTGAACGATTTGCGTCCATTAACACAAGTTAGCCGTAATTATTTTTATTTTTGGAGGGGGGGGGGTGGGGGATACACATATCACTGGCCGCCATCTTGGAGGGGGTACACATATCACTAGTGATATGTGTGCGGGGGTACACATATCACGGGGGTACACATATCACTGTGACACCCCATTACTTCGTTGAAATTTGAACACCTCTCAAAGGCAGGAGGATAGACCACCCCCCCCGGTTTTTCTTGGTTTTCACCAAGGAAATCGCTTCAAAATGGGTAAAATGCAAGAAGCTGTTCCTGCGATGGTTTTTAACCGATTCTTCTGAGAGTTTGCATACATATTGTTACACCCTCAGTTAGCAGATCTAAAACTTTCTTTCCACTACTGATTGTTTCAAAGAACCCCTGTTATTTATAATTTATTGCTATTAGAATATGAAACTGGGTCCCGATAAGTTTTATGTTTTGTGACTCCCAAAACTGTGTTTGCGACAACATAAATTGAGAAAACAAAGGGAGACGTTACATGGACGAGTATGTAATGTGTTGAGAGGTCAAATATTCCCACTTAATCTGTGACCCTCAAACAGATCACGTACGTCCGAAAAATGTTACGCATTTACAACGCCGCAGGCGCACCTGGCGAATTCTTTTTACTTACTTCAATTGAAAAGAGACAAGTTATTTACTTAAGCAAGCTTATTCACCCAACTTGTAAAACTCCTGGATGAAGCCTGCTATTGTCAGGTTAAACGCATGGAAGATAATTACAAGTTTTTACTTTCTCAGTCGGTGCAATGATGCTCACTAGTTTGTTCCGTAAAAAAAAAATCGCCTTTAATGTAAAGTCACGTCGACCTCGCAGAAAAATTAAGGCTCACCCAGTCATAGTCACTGGTTTGATACCGTAAGTATTAATTACGATACATCATTGTGCTTTGATCACAGCAGTGAAAATGTGCATTTCCTCACGCTCGCCACATTTATTACTAGTCGTAGTCGTTGATTATGAAGTGCGTTCGTGGTGGAGATTGAAGGTTTTCTTTGGTTTTCGTGCTAACGCAGGTCTTATACGAAACAGGGAACAAATGGTTGGGTACCTATTACGTGGTTTGAGGTAAATAAGTTTAAACCAGAGGGAAACGTCTGCAGAGGAGTTGAAGGCTAAGTGGAAAATATTGTACAGTAAAGAGGCCGATGATGTTAGGAGCTGAACAAGACTTTATCGCCCGCAAAAACCGCCACTCAACTTGCCTCCTGTGACTTTGCTGTGACATGGCCACCAAGGAAAGATCGGCGTGAAATGCTTTATTGTTCCCGAAAGAACACAACTCGTTTGAAATAGTTTTCCTAATGTTCCAGAAGTGACGCAAACTTCCCTCAGGCTTGGATAATGGATAAAAGTTAGCTATAAAAGTCTGAAAAAACGGTTAAGCTTACTTCAAACGGGAAAAATTACCGCTTTTACTCTTCTTCCAGTTAAACTACTCGGCACAAGGTGAGCGATTGCCATTTGCGCATCGGAATTTGACATGGACAAAATGAGATAGACTATTCAAGATGGCGTTGAAAATGCAAACGGACGACGAAAATGAGTACCACATAAGATCAGCCTTGAGTAACACAGGAATCCCAACTGAGCACCATAGGACTATGGGTTGCGTTCTCCTAATGTCGAACGCAATTACATTTGGAAAATTAATTTACTCGAGGGCGAGGTCACCGGTTGGCAAGTCTTGACTCTGGCCGACGATAATTGCCAACGAGCGGCGAGGTAACCACCCTATTGAGTACCATGAAATTCTTGTCAAATGTTATAAAAACTTTGTCTTCCCTTGATTCGCACGCAAAAAAAAAAATGACAAATTTTTCCCTCCCGCAACAGCCCAACGGATGGTATTGATCCTATGTAGTGTATGTGTATCAATTGTATTGCGTCCTCATAGTGATGCTACATAAGTGAGCGAGCGTCTAAAAAGCCCTCAATCCTCACTCTAGAAACCTTCAGCAAACTCATCGTAAAAGCGGGTGGTTATCAGCAACGTGCACAGATCTCTGAACCCGGGCTATCGCGAGAACTACTCAATCAGTCACAGACAGAGCAAGAGAGCGAGATATTCTTGTCAAGAGGAAGGATGTATCAAAACGTTATAGTCATATTAACTGCCTTCCAAGGCACCTTAACATAGGCAGAGACACAAATTGAAGCTGAAAAAAACATCCGCCTTTGATGAGATCAAGAGGAAATAGACGGAGGCTTATCAATCTATAGGGGATGGCTACGTTCAAGGTCGACTTCGGGCAAAAAAATTCTGACGAACAACCCCTTACTAGCCAGGTGGACCGCTTTGGATGGGCCCTTTGGCAGGGTCGTAACGAGGTATATGGGATCAGGGATCAAAGGCCTAAAAAAGGGTGGGATCAGGGATCACAGCCTCGGATCCGGGATCAAAGCTCTCGGGATCGGGATCAGCGTGTTTTCCATGGGCTCAAGGATCAGGCGTCTAGATAACAACAATAATTTACGATGCGCGCCTAAACATGGATTTTTAAAGCTTTTTGAAATTTTATGACCCATTTTATACAGTATTCCTTGGTATTTGGACTTATTGATTGATAGTTCACCGGAGACCAGAATCAAAGAGTACTAGTTGACTCAAACTTGACTGGTTAGGTATTGGGTCGTTAATCTGTTAATAACTTGCCAGGATTTTATCGTCTTACTCGCGCTGCATGACGTTCAATCATGATACAATATGCCAGGAATAGGTCATTTGAGCACGTTGGATTGCTTTCGACTGAGCACGGGCACTGAGTATACTTGGAGATTACTGGATCGTTTTTTAAAAAAGTCAACATTTCAGAAAGTTTTTTTCTATGGGGAAGCGAAAGAAGAGAAAAGATAATCACACACGTAGAAGGTAAATTGGAGTAAACGTTGATTTACGGTTTTCTTTCTGGTTCAAATCTGCAATCTTTTGGCAAAATTTAATTTCATAAACTCGACATTCTAGGTCACGTTCCTGGTCGCTCAGCAGAAAAGGCGATCAATGGCATGAGCGAAGCTCAAGGCGACGTTCAACAAGCAGGTAACTTAGAATAATGAGTGTTTGTGTGTTGTTACCAATTATAAGGACTAGAGTATACATAGAATTGCTTCTAAAACGGTGAAAAGACCAGACACAAAAACCATGATGTGACAACTGATAACACATTGAAAACTGATAGCACAAATGAACTATGAGATTTCGTCGTGTTGTGGGATTTAGCGTGGACCCGAGTAGTATTTATTCTAAAGGCAATTTAGATGAAAGAAAAGTTTTCTTTTGATCAAGGAAAATAATAGATGGATTAATTTTGAAGGATTTTTTTTATAAAATTAATGTCATCAGTTTTAGGTTTTATGGTAAATGTTATTACAGTAACTCTTGCCTTGCGGACACCCCGCGGCCAAAATTCAGATCCCCATCTAGAGGGTCTAACATAGGTTTGGCGGGATACGGGATGAGGCGTTTTTAGCTGCCGGGATGCGGGATGAAAGGAAATTTTAAGGCGGGATGCGGGATAGCGTGGAAGCGGGAAGTTGCTTATTTTTCTGGCGGGACGCAGGAATTTTTTATTATTTCCGGCGGGAAA